ATGAAATTTAAAAAATAATGTGTTAAAAATCTTGAAAGTATCGTATGTATATTTAAGAAATCTATTTTAATATTTTGCCTTTTTACTTTTAGATTATTGGAATAAAACAGCCAATTCATTTAAAAAGTTAGATTATGGAAAATGGGAATTGTATTTACCTCCTCTTGCTGATGGTAGTTGTCCTATAAAACATCTTTCAGAAGTGAAATTAATTGTTAAAGATCAGAATAATGAATTATTAGAACGAATAAGCCCATGGGCTACATACGTTACACAGAATTTGGCTGAAAGTACATTATATAAACAACGTCTATGGAATCCATCACCTGAAAATGTATGCAGATACGTTTATGTTATTTTTCTGTATTTTATTTTGCAGCTAATTATTTCAAGCAATATTTTTTTGTACACAGGTTTATAAGTTCAAACATCCTAAACCAAAGAAACATGAGAGTCTTAGAATTTATGAATGTCATGTCGGTATTGCAACTCAAGAACTAAAGATTGGTACATACTTAGAATTTGCTAAAAATATAATTCCTCGTATTGTAAAACAAGGTTATAATGCTATACAGTTAATGGCTATCATGGAACATGCGTACTATGCCAGCTTTGGTTATCAGGTTTGTTGAAAGATATTACTTTAATATTTTGCAACTGGTATTTTTAAGATACAGTAGTACCTCAACTTACGAACCGCTCTTCATACGAACTGTTTTCGTACTTCATTTTGACTTTTAGATACGAACTTAATTTCGAGAAACGAACCATAATGCTTCTACAATTTGGAGTTACGATATAAAAGAAAACTGGGTTTTGAGATACGAATTTCGGACTGAAATTAATTAAGTTTGTAAGTCGTGGTACTACTGTGGTACTGTGTATCTAAATTAATAGTTACATCTGTTAATTCAGATGTAACATGTATGCATAATAATAAGAAAAATCTTATACAATTTTTCCATTTTATTTGAAAGGCAAAGTATTCTACTGTTAACTCTGTTTTAGAAGTGAAAAGAGACATAAGTAATTTATTAATCACGGAAATATTAAATGTCCATTGCTACAATTTATGAAATATTCATTCGGAGTTGATGCTTATGTATTATCGTAATTAATCTTCTTAAGGTGACCTCTTTCTATGCTGCTTCATCCCGTTATGGTACACCAGAAGAATTAAAGGAATTAATAGATACAGCACATGAACATGGCTTATATGTTTTACTGGACGTAGTACATTCTCATGCATCAAAAAATACTTTGGATGGATTAAATATGTTTGACGGTACTGATAATTGTTTCTTCCATACTGGTCACCGTGGACAGCATCCACTTTGGGATAGTAGATTGTTCAATTATGGGGAATATGAAGTACTTAGATTTTTGCTATCTAATTTACGTTGGTACATCGACGAGTATGGTTTCGACGGATTTAGGTAAATGCATACTTAAAACTTGATTTATAATGTGGATCTTATAATATTACTTATAACACATTATATTCATGTAGATTTGATGGTGTCACATCAATGTTGTATCACTCAAGAGGACACGGACAAGGTTTCAGCGGACATTATGATGAATATTTTGGTCTTAATGTTGATGTTGAAGGTGTTGTGTATTTAATGCTTGCAAATCATTTCTTACATAATCTTTATCCAGAAATTACTACAGTGGCAGAAGATGTTAGTGGAATGCCTGGAGTATGCAGGTATTAAATATATATTTATAAACAGCTATTAAATGGTACTTAAATATACATACAGAAACACATTTATTTAAGAATTATACATATTAGATTATCAGAGAGTTTTAACGATAATGTAATAATTAATTTTTATCAATATGAAAGGCCAGTTAGTGAAGGTGGATTAGGATTCGACTACCGTTTAGCTATGGCTATTCCAGATAAATGGATTAAGCTTTTAAAAGAAGTGAAAGATGAAGATTGGAAAATTGGCGATATTTGTTGGACATTGAGTAACCGAAGATGGATGGAAAAAACTGTAGCTTATTCAGAATCTCATGACCAAGCTCTTGTAGGTGATAAGACAATCGCATTTTGGCTCATGGATAAGGAAATGTACTCGCATATGAGTACGTTAAGTCCACCCAGCGCAATCATTGAGCGTGGAATTGCTCTTCATAATCTCATTACATTAATTACACATGCAGTAGGAGGAGAAGCTTACTTGAATTTTATGGGTTAGTTTTATAACTAAACTTGCAGAACTTAAAGTTCTTAATATCCCAATAATTCAAGAGATAAATTGTTAGGTAATGAATTTGGTCATCCCGAATGGTTGGATTTTCCAAGAGCCGGTAATGGAAACAGTTATCATTATGCTAGACGACAATGGAATTTGGTAGACGATGAGTTGTTAAAATATAAATGTATGAATAATTGGGACCGTGCTATAAATACTCTTGAAGAAAAATATGGATGGTTACATGCTCATCCTGTAAAGTCCAAATATATTTTATTAAAAATTATATTTATGTCTAAGAATATAATTAGTGTTTCTAACAACACTGTTGTTTACAGGCATATATAAGTTGGAAACATGAGGATGATAAAGTAATTGTCTTTGATCGTGCAGATCTTATATTTGTTTTTAACTTCCACCCAGAAAAATCATTTCCTGATTATACTGTTGGAGTAAAGAATCCAGGAACTTATAAAATTCTTTTATGTAGTGATGATAAAGAGTTTGGTGGAAATGATCGTGTTGATACTAGTGTGAAACATTTTACTAAACCAGAATCGTATTCTGCTTATTCAAACAGAATGATGGTTTACATTCCATGTCGCACAGCTATTATTTACGTTCGAGGTACAGTCACTATAAATATTAACATTATTTATTAATTCTTTATAACAATTATGCTGACTTTTTATTTCAGAAACGTGATTACATTTTATGGACGTAGCTAATATAAGAACTGGCGTTTAATATTATGTACAAATAAAAAATTTTTGTACCAAAGTTTACAACCAAAACCTCAGAAATTACAGCACTCATAGGAAAAGTACAAATTTTTTGGAAACACGACATGAATTTTTATTATATTACATTTCAACATAAAAATCATACTATGCCTGATACGTAAACACATATACTCATTAAACTACTGATACAAGAGATTATATTCATTTTAGAATTATTTTAAAAGGTTTATATTTTTAGATACTGTGTTTTTAGCATCTGCAAATATTTATAATAAAATGGGTATGTTTTAAAGTTGTATAACATTTATTTGTAATGAAACCTAAACTTGATATAATTATATTAATAGCTAGTCTAATTATTAAATAATAAGAAAAATATCTTCCTCATGTTAATTATTTAAAGAAACTATAAGAAAATTTAATTTGCTACGTTCATAAGAATTCATGGATTTATAAATAGCTAAAATAATCAATCGTTATTTATCAAAAGTATTTATAAAATAGGTTTAAATAAAAAAATTAGTTGTTATAATTTATTGCTAAACATGAATTAAGAATTCTAAACGCTTACAATTCTAATATTTAACATCTTTTTAATTTTTAGAATATATGTATTAAAACATTACAGTCAATTGTACTTAAATTTTCTTCTAGCAGAAATTATGAACGATGACTGAATATTATTAGCAATGTGAAAATGAGTTTTGAAATTAATAAAATATGAAATAATTACATACAAATGAAAATAAAACATATTCGTTAGAATAAGTTACATCAGTCATTGTTTAAAAAAAAGTTATACTTTTGAATATTTGTAAATTAAGAATTTATTCAATATTTGACATTATATACACATAAATATGCCTGCCTTTATATTAAATTATTCTTCTTTTATATTACTGAATTCTGCTTCATTTACATCGTAATTTTTCATTTTATTTTCTAAGATCCACCATTTGTCTAAACATCCTATGTCCACTATTCTTTCATGAAATGTTATATACCGAGGACGTAAATAAGGACAAACTGCTTTATACAGGGAACACACTTTGTCATAATTGTCTATCCAAATTATTGAAATTATGCCTAAATTTAATCGTCTTATAACTCCTTCATTGTAACATTGTTCTAACCACTTAACATGATTTTCAGAGATTGGATTTCGTAGTGGTTCTGCTACTTGCATTAACTTCATACTATTTTGTAATAAATATTCTCTGAAGGAACATTCATCTGGATTATATTTATTTAAATATACACAGAATGCTGTAACTAATGAAACATATTATTAACAGTGATATTTTTCAATTTTTTACTATTACTGATAAAATATTTACTACATTTTACTAATTATAAATAATACACACGAGCAGTATATGTTGAGACTTTTATTGGACGTTCTTTACACTCTTTAACAATATCTTCTGCTACACCTTTATAATCTAGATAAACATTCTTCCAATATCTTCCTAAAATCAAGAATACATTTTATTAAATTATATATTTATTAGATAATTTTAGTTTTTTCTTATAATTCACTTACCCCATCGCTCAAGAAATGTTCCTTTTAGCCTCTCTGGTGTTTCAAAATTTTCTATTTTATTAGAAATATTAATAATCGAATTCTTCAATTTTGTACTAAATTTATAGTTTCGAAACCGGGTAAGCTGCCCGTAGCTCATGTTGGTAAATAAACTATAATACTAAATATAACAGAAATATTATTCAACTCACAATATATATTTTATTTCATTCGTAATACTTACAAGAACGAAACAGGTTAACTTCAAACAATTATATGCACATGTTCTTACCTGACATTCAAAGCTATGTTAAAGAAGTAATCAAATTTTTAAAGCTTTTATTCTATTTTATTTCTAAATATTATACTATGTATTTATGTATATTGTCGTATTGAATATTTTATACTGTTGAGATGTTTGTATAATTAAAATATTAAAAGAATGTAGTTGTATTACAGAATCGTATTAAACAGATACACATATACTTTTATATTCATAAATTTGAATTTTATTCGTACCTGTGTTCTTCTATGTTTACAGGAATTGTTATTATACTTTTTAATTTTCTATACTTTCTAACATACAATTATTATTTTTCAACTTTTCTTTCTCATGTTGTCATTTTCAGTGGTATATATAAAATTATTTAAAAAATACAGAATAATCAGACAACGGTTAATTTTTACTAATTATATGTAGTTTTTAATAATATTTTAATAATGCAGTATTTATTATCAAAAAAATAAAATCACCAAGTTACTAATGTTTACAAAGCTGAACAAAATTAGCTAGTAATTGGACAGTTTCACTATAGATGGTACAATGGGTCTCTTCCATGTGGCAGTATTTTGATAGACAACTTCAGAGAGGTAATCCATAAGTATACCTATTATAGGTACTTATTAGATAATACATGCACAGATTTAAGATACGTACAGACATTGCAGCTTATGGACATTTTTGTCTATAAAAATGAAATATATCTAGGGCTTCCGGGATTTCAAGATTCCCGTACCATTTCGGTGTCACGTTCGATGTTACCGATAATACAAGATTTTAGGCTTGTTAACAGGAATTGGATTAACTGTATACTTAATTTTTACTACGATTGTATTATAAGAGTTAGCGGCAACAAATGTATATACATTTAAACGATGGAGGTAGTAGTTATTCAATAGAACTTCAGGACAATCTAATTTTTATTAATTCATAAACGTAAATATTTTAATAATTGAAATCTACTATATAAATTACAGCTATAAAATTTAAATAAGAAATTATTTCGATTAATTATACAGTTGTAGCAAATACTTCGATAAATTAAAGTATAATATACATTTTTCTTTAAATTATAATATTTCTATCAAAATTGTTAAGCATCTAAGACTAAAATGTATATGTAACACATTTTTAGATATTGTTTTGAAAATAGATATAATGATTTTTCTTGAATTTGTGTAAATAACTACAGCAATATTTAAACTGCTTTGAATGGAAATATGTAAGTACATTTCACACAAATATCGATATGTGGAGGAATTGGAGCTTAATCCGTTTCATAACATATCGTTACCAATTTATTACGTGGACATTGCCATGGATAGTACCACAGTCATTTCGCGTGAAATCTCACATCGGTAACATTTGTCTACCAGTTTTCCGTATTTCCTACCGATATGGTAGAAAACTGCTTAACCAATCTTACTGATTTATTGTATTTAACGATTGTTATGTTTTTCGTTGCTAAGATTGTCAATTTTATAATATGCTTTTCAGTTGTTGTAAATGTTTATTCAATTCATTGAAAGTTCCTTAAAGAGACAAGACGTGTTTTGTCTTCTCTCTGTAAAAGTAATAATAAATATAGCTTATAAAACTATGTGTGAACTTCCATATCACGAAGAGCGTTGGTTGAGCGTCACCAAAAAAGTTTGTATTTGACTCGATATCCAAAAATTTTCTACCCAACCAGATCGAAAAAAACCTTCCAACGGACTTGAGCATCAACACGACAACATCAACACAAGTTACAAACCAGCTACCCTAAGCCCTTCGGGGCTGGGATATCCAGCCGAAGGGATGGACGGGAGCGGGACAAGCAGCAAAAATTCTGAAAAGGAAAAGTTCCGAAGAAGAAGACACAAAAACTATACCGAAAAAAGTACAAATGGCTCTGACCAGGGAGTGGATGGTGTACCCGGCTAACCACAAAGGACCAGCCACGGTGGACACCGTCCTCAACCAAGAACTAACCTCAAAAAATAGGAAATACAACCTCATGGTCATCGCGAGGAAAATTTGTAACTTAAATGCGGGAGCAATTAAAATCAAAAATACCGGGCATGGCAGGGTCGAAGTCATCTTCCCTAGCGCCGACCAAGCAAACAAATTTACACAGTCGGAAGAAACGGCAAAGAAGGATCTCAGAGCCTACATCCCGAGATACAAAATAGAAAAAACAGGAATCATAAAAGGCATCCCATTGGACATGACAAACGAAGAATTACTAATGCAAACAGTATCCCCGGCAAAAATAAAAAAAATCGTAAGACAAAATAGGAGGGTAAAAAACACCATAAGCAATACGACAGAATGGATTCCGAGCGAATCCATACTTATCACCTTCGAAGGCAACACCTTACCAAACTACATCAAACTCTTTGGACTGGTAAGCCTACCCGTAGAAGTGTACGTTGAGGCAGTCAAAACCTGCCACAACTGCCTAAAATACCGATACCCAACAAAATTCTGCAGAAGCAGGAAAGTATGTAAGAAATGCGGCGAAGAAGAAGAAACCACGCTTGCAGCGAGCAGATTACCAAGTGCGTCCACTGCGGCCTGAACCACCAAGCCTTTTCAAGGGAATGCGAAATTTTCAAAGAAAATAAAAAAATAAAAGAAATAATGGCATACGAGAACAAGAGCTCCTTCGAATTCAAAACAATAGTAAAAACATAAACACAAAACCAGGTGACGCAGGAAAACAGAAGAGATCCAACCCTATTAACCACAGAACAGAACTTCCCTCGGTTACCAGAGCCTACAATGGCAGCCGAATATCATATAAAAACAATAGGAGGACACCGCAGACCAACAGCCCCAAACACAGCCTGGGCAAACAACGCAAAAATCCCAACGAATCAACCAATAAACAGACAACCATCAGAAATCAACGTAAACAAACCAGCAACGACACATCAACAAACAAACAACCAAACACCGGCCACACTACTCAAGCGCAACACAACAACCAAGAAAATAAACCACACTGCAACAGCAAAAAATAAAGAAAACGAACGGCCAACTACCAGCACAGAACACTTTAAAAAACGACTGCAAGAAGCCATAGAAACAGAAAACATCTTCAATAAAACCACTCAGAAACAATACAAAGGGTCACTCAAAAACACACAATGACAGAACTAAAAATCCTACTCTGGAATTGCAGAAGCATAAACAGCAAAATTACAGAGCTTCAACACATCAGCATAAACTATGACGTAATAATCTTAGCAGAAACCTGGCTAACAAAAGAACAAACACTAAAAATACCAAATTTCTTAACAATCCGGAAAGACAAGGAAAACAACAGGAGAGGTGGAGGCGTAGCCATCATGCTACACCACTGCCTAACCTACCAGGACACCAACATACAATGCAACAATGCAGAAACACTGACAGTAAAAATCACAAACAATTCACCAGAAATCACCGTATCAGCATGCTACAGACCCTCCGGCACCATTCTAAGACTCCAAGAAATGGACAAGTACATCGAAGACCTATGCAGCCATAGCAATTTCATACTGGCTGGATACTTCAATGCACTCCACAGTATGTGGAAGGAGAAAACTTTAAGACACTCATTGACACACACAACCTGATCGTACATAACACCACAACACTGACACGCATAGCTAACCCACCAAAAACCTGCAACAACCTCGATCTCATCATCACTAACTCAACCATAGCACACCTCATAGACACACAACAACACGATGACAATATGGGCTCCGACCACTTCCCCATAATCTGCCACTTCAACGCCACAAAAACGATCTACAGCAGGAAAACTAACAAAATATCATCCAAGAGAACGAACTGGAAGCAGTACATCACAGAATTCAATTCACTGTACCACACATTCTTAGACACAACATATGACAAACAATTATCCACAG